TTTTACTTTTGTCTTTCACAACTTGTACGATCTCTGGTGGTGATGAACCATCCTTTTTAGCATCCCATGGATCACAATAGTCATCTTTGGATGTTTTTCTCACTGAATCGGGCGCGGTTGGTTTCTTGTCCCAGGGATCACAGTAGTCATCTCCTGGAGGGGCTTGTGTTTTTTTAGCGTCCCATGGATCGGAATAATCACCACCAGGAGAGACTGCCTTTTTGGCATCCCAGGGATCAGAATAGTCATCACCTTGTATCTAAAAGAGAAGGATCAACATAAATTATAAACAAATTAATATTAATAATATTATACATGTAAGCCAACTTTTGCCATAGACACATCTGAGTATGGCACCCGCCTACTTTACATCAGAGACTTTCTGGTTCAGACAGAACAACACATCTCTTCATGGTAAAGTAAACTCAACACATGTGATCATCACATCTCTGTGAATGACTAAAGGAGAACCTTGACTCACAAACTCCTCCTCTGATCGGTCACGAACACCCATCATAAGTGGACACTTAATTGAAACAAGCAAGTAGCTAATTTTACCTATTATAAATGGACATTTTCACTAGTCCCATTGGGGTTGTCCACTGTAAATTGGGGTTTTCACTTACAAGTCAACTACATGTACATTTTACATGTAATAATAAAAAATCTTAAGATTAAAAAAACAACTATCTAAAAACTATCATCGCAATTAATCCACAGTCACTAGAAATAATAAATGATTCAATAAAAAGCTTTCATTCATTCGTTCGTTCGTTTGTTCATTTGTTCATCCATTCCTTTGTTCATTCATTCAATCATTTTTGCCATTAACCAGAAATTATACAACAACAGTATACAGAAATTTATAGTACATTAAAAATAATCTATAATATTCTAACTAAATTATTTACAAGATCAAATGTCTAAAGTGGTAAAGGCAAGGAATTTTAATCAACTATCCCTTCCCTGACAAATCAGTAGAACTACAGGAAGTTCTTCATTTCTGTACGGTATGTATTCACATTGAACATGCACATCAACACCTAAACTACATGTATATTTACATGTATAATTTACAACTAGCTATACAGTGGAAAACAAATAAAAAGTAATCAAAGAAATACAGTGGCAATTTGTAGGTCTGAAGGAAAACACAAACTTAAATTAAGGCAAATAATGATATCACATCCAACATTTAGTAAAAGGTACCATTACGTCCATTGCTGTCACTGTCTGTACTAAGATAAAATAAAAGAATACAATGCCATGATCATGTACATCTTCCTTTGTCTAAACAACGTCTTGTAAATAGACAAGTAACAACAAAAATTCAACCAATTCAACCATCAAGCTGATACTAGCCATTCACATGTAACACAATGTAAATTTAGGTTTTCAAAATAGCTTTCCAAGTTAAATAACTGCTTCAAAATCTGTCTAACAAAAAAACCCAAATCTTATTCTACTCATTCAAAAGAACATTTTAACAAATCTGTCAAAAAACCATAAAATGCAAAAATTATACCAATAAACCTATGCTTTACCTTTATCCGATTCTTCTCTGATTTACTGACCCGCACACAGTTACATTTTTGAAGAAACATAGTGATGTTCACACTTATTTTGATGAAATATTTAAAGCTCTGAGGCTTGAACTTTTTTCTTCTATTGATCGACGAGAAGATGATGTATTGTCAAGAGCGTGACTGTCCATTAATCAATAAGGTTCTTTGTTTACGGTTGGTTTGTGGCTTATACAATGAGTTCTACTTTATGACTGTATTTCCATATGGCTTTCTCCTGTGGATTAAATATCGATGTAAAAAACTTTGTTGTAAGAATGGCACATTGCTTAAAACATTTTCCGGGCAAAGCAACAGTCTGTGCCTTCTTCTTGAATTGAACTGTGAGCAGAAGAATATTTTTTTCCTGTAATTTCCTCACACACCTGGCTGAAACAACTTGTTTTATTTCAATATGCAAATTATCAAGAAAAGCAGAAAATCAAAAATAATCTTTTTCATGACATCACAGCTGTACCACATGCAAACATGCACATCTGCAGTTGTTGAACAGAATAAAATAATCTTGGCTGAAAACGATTTTCAAAATGTTCTAAATAAAGCCATAAAATGAGACGAAGAAAAATACAATTCAAACTAGAAAAAAATATATTCACCATGTAATTTGCTATTATTTCAATAAGAAATGCACTGAAGTACATATAAACTATAATGACAAAAATAAAATGCAAATTTGTAATTCTAACTCATTTGGTTATATCAATCACTAATATTTGTCCGAATCATTCAACATCTTAATGGCAGTGCAGGTCTTCAACAGATGCATGAAATAAAATTATAATCAAAAGCAAAGTTCTACATTTTTACTGTAGATTAGATAAATCACCATAAAAAGTACCAAGCAATATACATGTATGATTCTTAAAAATATTATATTTAGTACCCCTTTTATAACATGACATAATTTAGGTAATTCATAAAATCATGGCAGTTTTTTTAATTAACAGCTTATGTTTAAAAGTTTCAAACTCACTACTTAAGTTTGTAGTAAATTTTATCTGTGACTCCTAAGGCAAATGCAGACTATTCCACTGAATCCTATGCAACAAACTGACTGGTGCACTTAAAATAAATATCACAGGTCAAATTTTGATTCTAAGTTAATTTTGATTTGTAACTGATTTTCAATTTCCTCTGTCTCCTTAGCCCTAGGTGAAAAAGGAAATTGAGAATCAGCCTACAGTAGTTTAAAACATTTTAATCAGAAATCCAATATTTTGAGCTGTAACATGTACGTTGTAGATATACTTGTACCTTCCTACTTCGCCTTTGTTCCTTCAGATTGAGATACAGATATCATCAAATTTCTATTCATGAAAATGAATTAAATTGGCCTAGGAAGAAAATTAACTGCACAAAAGACAAAAAGAATAAAATTATTCTTATCAACGTTATTATCAGCTGGTTTGTTTGAAATTATTTTGTAAGAATCATCAATCAATTTTTACCAGTTTCTGTGCTGACTGAGAGAACCAGTTACAGATTATCCACAAGTTTTTTACACTTGTTATTCAAAAGCCAGACAGGCTTCAGCGGTAAACATCTTTTTCATAAGAGTGATCTTTATGAAAATGTATAGTCTGCATTTTTAAAGTTTCTACAAAAAAGTTAACACAGACTACTGTATAATAACAAAAACAGCATGTATGAATGATTATTGTTGACAGTATAAAATCAAAATTAAGTTTCCATTGAGTGAAAGTATAGGTTAAACTATTTAATAAACAAAAAGTTATTGTCAGTAAAATTTTTTTTACATGTGTATTTCTCCAGTAACCTTGATTGCTACAAATGTTGTAGGACAGCTCAAGAATCTACATATACAATTATGTAATAAATTTTAAAAGCTGAGAAGATGTAATATCATTTTGTCATTAGATAATTCTCATGCACAGACATGCACCATACCCAAAAAAAAATCTACATCCCAAAAAAGACAGGACAGAATTTGAACCTTGTCCTGCCACGAAAACAGTTAAAAGGCACTCTAATCATGAGAGCTGCCTAGTTCATAAGTTGTGATTCTAGAGTCAAGTTCCACAAAAGCATGCCGGAAGCACAAAGTCTGAATCAAAGTTTTGAATTTGAATTTTAGCAGAGGCACTAAGTTCGACAAACTCTACCGTGCTACCACAGCTTACATACAGTGTATTCTGTGTCAAACTAAATTTATAAATTATTTTATACACTAAACATATTTTTTAAAAGTGTCTTTTAGGAATTGTTTTTTTTTTGTTTCATTTACTGCTGACAACAATTCAGTTCCCCACCCCAAATGCCAATCTTACTGAATGCACAGTAACTGGTACAGCTTAATTCGATGTCCAAAACATTACACAAGTTTGTGATTTGACATTAATTACTTTACAACAACTTATAGTACAGATAAACCTACATCTGTAGCAAAAAGTCAACATTTTTGTAGAAAACATTACATGATGTGTACGTATGTGTGATTTGTTTGATAGTATTTAACTACAGTCTTAAAAAAATGCCTCATAAAAAAATGACTGTGTATACATTCTGCTTGACTCAGGGTCACTTTTTGTTTGCAAAACCTGTTGTCAATAATCAAATTAAACAACAGGGAAATGTTAGTTCCTGTACTCAAGCAACACCAACCTATTTTTACCAAATATATAAAAGCAACAATAGACACTATGAATATTTTGGCTGCAAGACGACATACTGTAACCTGTGAAGCTTGTGAGGCTTATTATGTTAAAGTATTATAAACAATGCCAATTTTTGTTAAATATTTCTTTCGCATTTTGGAGTTTACCAAAATATTACTGAGAATTATTATTTGAATTGAAGCAAAGAAAAAACCATGTCTTGCCCATGAAATGCATAGGAGTTCGTCATCAACAACTATTTCGCAAGTTTGGCTTCTGAACCGAAAATTAACACCTTTGTAAACTCGGAGGAAGTCAAGGCTAGCTGCTTGCTGCAGCAAATACATTCCTGAGGTAATTAACGTTATGTAATGCTTTTCGAGGAGGAAAGACCCTTTCTGCATAGAAATGGTTAAACTATAATAAATATGCCCTGCACATGGGCAAATATCACAACAATACGACATGACGTACATGTAACCTAACCTTCAAACCAAGTCTTTGAGCAGGAATCGGAGTTTTTCCTCCTTGAAGGTGCTCGGCACTTTGAGGCCTCTGTGATCTAGCCTTAGGTACTGGAGGTCTACTCAACTGAGCTACAAGTCCTATTGGGACCGAAGCCCTCTTTCCGGGATCCTGGACGCGTCGACTGGAAGGCGAATGATTCGGTCTCGGAGGTGGATAGCTTGGCATCTGAACAGACTGAACAGCCGTGGCCGGATCAGTGGTCGGATGGACAGCAACTGGATCTAAATATCCTTCATCGTTTTCAGATTCATCGCTACCGCTTTTGGTTCCATCATAGTCTTTTCTTGGCGGCGTAGGAGCCTTGTGGCCTTTGTGCTTAAATAACTTCCCTAGATGAGACATGTCTTACTGTACATGTCGAGTGGTCTTCGTGATCATAATGGCTGCGACAGGATGTGACGACAACGGATCGAAGACTACCTTACTCACGTGACATTTCGCAAAATTACTTCCGGCTGGGAAAGCTCCCAGCAAGGTGGGCATGGAGAGGCCAAAAAAGGTAATTTTTTGTTTGAACTGTTGCACATAACGTTAATTACTTTCGTAATTTACTTGCAAATCAAATAATATACATTTTAAAAAGTGATAAATAATGACGTAGAATTAATGACATTTTCAGTTTCTTTTTCTTCGCGTGCAAATATAACAGAAGTATAATACCTAATATGTACACAAACACTTGAGACGTTTCCTTACTCCTCAAGCTAGGCAGGTCTTTCTGCGATTGAGTTGATTTTCAGTTTCCAGTTCTGATTTAAATTGATCTTTTAATTGGTTGGTTTCTTTTTCAAGCATGAGTCATTATACAAAATATAAAAAAGGTCTTTTTTTAGATTTATGTTTACCTTAAACGGCAAAACTACGCTCGTAAATTATTCTAAACAGAAAACCGTAGAGTTGCGAAGGTCCTCGAATCCGGGAAGTTTCATATGTTTGCACGAAAGTTGTTCTCTACGTGAATGAAAGTCAACAAGCTCCTATGCCGGCTCTCATTCATTAAAGCAGCAAAGATAATTTTCGATAATTTTCGATAAAATCATGGACTTTTTGTCGCCTAAGACGCGAATCCTTTTAAATCAGGCATGCTATTAAAATAACGTCTCTGAATAGTGGAAGAGCATAGAAATATTAGTAATCATATCGCTTTTAGAAAGTCAAATTTTTACGCAGAATATCTGTCTTATTTGCAGTATGAAAATAAAGCATTTCCTTAGATATTGCTCGCAAAGAGCTGGCATTGCCCCAAGACCGCCGAGGGGTGTAGCCTTTAGTCCTTATAATGAGTAAATGAAGGTTAAGAAAGGATCGCAAGTCCAGCCGAGATCGCTTCAGAACGATACTGAAACACAAAACAGACCTTAATCACGGTTTGAAAACCATTTTGTCGGGTAGGCAACCCCGTGAGAAATAACAATGTTTGTATGAGGATCTAAAGTCGAATAATGTTCTTCGTGAAACGGACGTCGTTCTGAAGAAAGAAGGAATGGTAAACTTAAGCTGCACAGCTATAGCCCAAAGGATTCCACTAGCAAATTTTAAGGGCCATACTTGTGCATAATTTCTCCAGTCGCTTGCTTTAGATTTTCCATATTATATTTGCCTGCATTTTTTCCTGGGAAAAGTTCAATAAGTCGGCAGAAAAAAAATATTACAGACAAATGTACAGAAAATTTTAAAAAGTCGTTCTAGCACAGGTGACGCCCTTCATTTTTTTCGGTAAGATCCGGGTTAGGAGTGATGCTCTTTAGTTTACAATTTATATCAGTTTTCAGAACACAGACGTTTTACGGAAATTATTCGACATTAGGTTCTTATACAAACACTCAGTAATTTCTAACGTGGCTACCTACCTGTCAAGATGGCTTCCAAAACCGTGATAAGGCCTTTTCAGCACGGTCAAGTGTATTTCATTGCACTTGTTCACGTTAAGCTCCGATAAGACGAATTTCTTTAAAATACAACTGTCATATATCTGTCTGATTTCGATAAACACTAGCCTTTTTTCGCCTGGCGCGCAGCCCGGCTCCAGGCCAGTTCGGTGTCCAAAACACCGAACACCCTAGATCATAGCATCATGTTAGATAAGTTAACTTCACTAGGATTGAATCGCTCTGCTGTCCAATGGTTTAGGTCCTACTTAACCATGCGCACCCAAAGTGTTTGCACTAATGGGGTCTTGTCTGAGCCCAAGCCTATCTCTTTCGGGGTTCCCCAGCCGGGTAGCGTACTAGGCCCTTTATTATTTATCATCTACATAAATGACTTACCTCTAGCAGTTCAAGGTTGTTGCGTTGAGCTTTATGCTGACGATACACTTATCTATTTTGCAAGCAAGTCAGTCAGTGAAATTCAAGCTCAGTTAACTAGTGGCCTAACTAATGTCCTAAGCTGGCTTCACGCTAATTTTCTAATACTTAATCTTGAAAAAAAAACGAAGATTATGCTTGTCGGTACCCATCAGAGGACCGCGGAGGCTGACGATCAAGTTATAGAAATCAGTAACACGCGTTTAGAGAGAGTTAACAAGTTTAAATATCTTAGGGTCCTCCTAGACAACACCCTATCTTGGAAGGACCACGTAGAATATATCGGTAACAAGATCCCGTCTAGATTAGGTATTCTGCGTCGAGCGCGTAAGGTTCTTCCCAAACCAACTTGTCAAATGCTCTACAATACTTTAGTCCTGCTATTGTTCGATTACTGTTCGCCTGTCTGGGACAGTTGTGGGGTTGGGAGCAAAGCGTATCTAGATAAGCTAANGGTGGTGCAGGAGGAGAGGTTGTATGTAGAAAGCTCGACAACGCAAGTGTGGGGAGGGATGAGGTGGGGGGGGAGTGAGCGGGGTGGTGGGGGGGGGTGGGGGGGGGGGGGGGGGGAGGGACTGACAGTCACAGAGGGCCCTGGGTGGGGAGGGTTAAAGTCTTGGTACAAAGGACATAATTAGCTGAGGACTTGTACACATGCGCTGAAGCCAAGTTTACATAAATTCAGTCAGATATATGAACCCTATTCAGGAGCGGCTACTGCCCTTTTACAAATCGCTTCGCAACGCGATTGCCAGTTGTTGCGGTCGATATTAGGAGAACACAACTCCTAATTTTGGAAATTTTGTGGTACTTGTTTATCCTGTGTTACTCAGCAGTGACCTTTTCAGCAAGTTTTTTTTTTGTTCGCCTGCATAAGCATTTTTTGGCACCATTTTGAATTACGTCATATTTATGTGCATGTACATACGGACGCAACATTGTTGGATGTTACATGTTTCGTCCGTTTGCACACCCTGTTGCATGGTGTTGCATGTTGTTAGGAGTTGCTGCGCAAATTTTGAAACCGGTTAACCTTTTGAGCTAATTAACAACTCCCAACATTTCTTTTGTTCCGTGATCGCCGAAGAGTGGCGCAAGAATGTTGGATCCGTTTGCACTGCTCGTCCAACATTGTTGGGGCCACGCACGCCCATTACACATGATCACCTGGTCTTATGGGACGTATCCTTCCCACGATACACTGCAGGTTCCAACCTTGTTGGGAGTTGTTGCATCCGTTTGCACACCACTGCCAACATGGACGCAACAACGCCCAACATTGCTGGGCCAACAATGTTGGGAGTTGTTCGTCCCTTTGCACGTAGATTTACGTTGTTACGCAGGCTGGGAACCAGTAAACTGCTGGAAGGTCTTTCCCAATCAGAAGAGAAGGCTGCAAGCTGTCGTGGGTGACTCTAAAGGGACCCTTCTGCTTTACTGAACACATGCAGACTCGTCTTCACCCACGGGCAAAGGCTGTGTTAACGGAAAGGAAACATTTGAGGAGCTGTCACATTTGTATTTGCAAAATTTAGAATTAAAAGGCATCAGCGAAAAAACAAACAAACAACAACAACGTCCCCATGCTGGACGAACGACCTCTCTCTGCTTTGAATTTCCTTTCCTCATTTTTAAGTTCGTTGACCATAGGAAAACAACAGGGAAACAATGAAAAGAAAAAAAAAGGCTTTTAAAATGATTACATTCAAACCTTAAAGATGTCAAGCTCCTTTCCCTTTCTCAACTTTTTACTGTTTATTTTTTATTTTTTTTGTTATTTTATGGTTCAGTTCTGAAGACCCCATTCTGAAGATTAACAGTAATCTGACAACAGCATTAGCAAGGGAGGACCAAGGGGAGCAAGGGTGGCGCAGTGGTGAGAGCGCTCGCCTCCCACCAATGTGGCCCGGCTTCAAATCCCGGCGTCAACGCCATATGTGGGTTGAGTTTGTTGTTGGTTCTCTCCTTAGCTTCCAGAGGTTTTTCTCCGGGTACTCCGGTTTTCCCCTCTCCTCAAAACCCAACATTTCCAAATTCCAATTCGACCAGGAATCACGTAGACGAAGAGCCACTTTGTGGATGTGCTACCTCCAAATCATTATTATTTATTTATTTATTTATTTATTTATTAGCAACCAATGCAAAGACTGCTCCCAAAGTCTCCTTGGTTGGTTCATTACAATATTCTGCATTGTTTGCTTTCAGGTAGTCGCCCTTGGACATGATGACGTTTCAAACAATCGATAAAAAGGTGCGGACGTCTCATGAATTAGACTTCCGTTTAATTACAACCTCTAAATATAACTTTATCGAAATTAACATAGCCCGGCCAACACCCTAAGACTCCGTCTCTGTCCCGATATTCTCTCTCGCTTAAAGTTTTTTTACGCTTCGAAAACTTGAAAGAACTTCTGTACCTAGCCTCGTCCCAGGCATATTTCCATCACAGTGGGATCGAAGTCTCGCCGTCCACAACACAGGGAAGATAGACTCCGTGAGTACCCCACAAAGCGTATAATTTGTGTTCCAACGCCTCTTCATTGCTTTGCAATCAGCATAGCTTGAGACAATAGCCGACATTTCGTGAAGCCACCATTGGTTTCCCCGTGAAATGACGTCTGACAAACGACATACAGAAATTTCATACTGATGACGTGTCACTACCCAGATCTGGGTTGTGCTTTCGATTGGTCCTGCCGCGTGGGAATTTGCATCAACCAATCAGAAGCACTACTCAGATCTGCGTAGTAACGCGTCATCAGTATGGAATTTCTGCGCTCCTGTCCCAGACGTCATTTCACGGAGATACCAGCGGTGGCATCGCGAAATGTGGGCGGTTTTCTCAGGCTACGCTAGGGAAAATAGATGACCTCTACAAACAGGCTTCACCAAAAAAGGCACAAAATTGTCTTGAAATTGTTTTCCTGTGGTTGCAAGTCACAGGTTTACTTTTGTTATCTACAGTTGTACAGTAACAGTGAACTCAAAAATGGCGATAGTATGATGTTATCGATTTGTGAAGTCCAGGCCTCCAACAAAGACCCAGCTGTCACTGCGGCGGAGACTGGCAACCAACGTTCTTTTGGTAACGACAACACGCCTGAAAAGTTAGAGCAAAGATTGGAAATTATTTTAAAACTCTGATAAAATAGATACGCTTTTTATCTTGTTTATCTTTTTCAGTAATGAAAGAGAGGCTGAATGCAGGAACGCGCATCAAATTGTCGACTTTTCATGTGGCACAAGTTCACTGAACTGTCGCCTACGCGAAGCAGTGGTTTTTTAATATTTTGGCAAGCATAGATGATAATTAAACTTTTTTTCGGATTGAGTGCGGTATAGCTACTCCTATTGAACTCATTGTAGTATCAGATTTTTTCCAATTTTTTAGGCTGAAGTAAAGGACTAATACCTTTACGCAAGAATATTATTTTTCGGTAAAAGTCTGTTTGTTTGTTTTCGGTATAAGTCCTTTTTTGAAATCACCTAACCTCCCCTCAATAATCAAAAAGGGTGCCTCAAGGAAGGAGGAGGCACAGACAGTCACCAAGTGTCCTGGGTTAAAGTCTCGGTACCAAGGACATACTTAGCTGAGGACTTGTACACATGCTCTGAAGCCATGTTTACGTAAATTCTGTCAGATATATGAACCCTATTCAGGAACGGCTCCTGCCCTATTACAAATCGCTTCGCAACGCGATTGCCAGTTGTTGCGGTCGATATTAAGAGAACGCAACTCCTAATTTTGGAAATTTTGTGGTACTTGTTTATCCTGTGGTACTCAGCAGTGACCTTTTCAGCAAGTTTTTTTTTTTGTTCGCGTGCATAAACATTTTTTGACACCATTTTGAATTACGTCATATATATGTGCATGTACATACGGACGCAACATTGTTGGATGTTACATGTTTCGTCCGGTTGCCCACCCTGTTGCATGGTGTTGCATGTTGTTGCGTGTTGTTAGGAGTTGTTGCGCAAATTTTGAAACCGGTTAACCTTTTGAGCTAAGAACTCCCAACATTTCTTTTGTTCCATGATCGCCGAAGAGTGGCGAAAGAATGTTGGATCCGTTGCACTGCTCGTCCAACATTGTTGGGACGTATCCTTCCCACGATACACTGCAGGTCCCAACCTTGTTGGGAGTTGTTGCATCCGTTTGCACACCACTGCCAACATAGACGCAACAACGCCCAACATTGCTGGGCCAACAATGTTGGGAGTTGTTCGTCCCTTTGCACGTAGATTTACATTGTTACGCAGGCTGGGAACCAGTAAACTGGTGGCAGGTCTTTCCCAATCAGAAGAGAAGGCTGCAAGCTGTCATGGGTGACTCTAAAGGGACCCTTCTGCTTTACTGAACACATGCAGACTCGTCTTCACCCACGGGCAAAGGCTGTGTTAACGGAAAGGAAACATTTGAGGAGCTGTCACATTTGTGTTTGCAAAATTTAGAATTAAAAGGCATCAGCGAAAAAACAAACAAACAACAACAACGTCCCCATGCTCGACGTACGACCTCTCTCTGCTTTGACGACTGCTTTGAATTTCCTTTCCTCATTTTTAAGTTCGTTGACCATAGGAAAACAACAGGGAAACAATGAAAAGAAAAAAAAAAAGATTTTTAAAATGATTACATTCAAACCTTAAAAAGTCCAGCTCCTTTCCCTTTCTCAACTTTTTACTACTTATTTTATTTATTTTTTATTATTTTATGGTTCAGTTCTGAAGACCCCATTCTGAAGATTAACAGTAATCTGACAACAGCATTAGCAAGGGAGGACCAAGGGGAGCAAGGGTGGCGCAGTGGTGAGAGCGCTCACCTCCCACCAATGTGGCCCGGCTTCAAACCCCGGCTTCAACGCCATATGTGGGTTGAGTTTGTTGTTGGTTCTCTCCTTAGCTCCCAGAGGTTTTTCTCCGGGTACTCCGGTTTTCCCCTCTCCTCAAAAACCAACATTTCCAAATTCCAATTCGACCAGGAATCAGGTAGACGAAGAACCACTTTGTGGATGTGCTACCTCCAAATCATTATCATTTATTTATTTATTAGCAACCAATGCAAAGACTGCTCCCAACGTCTCCTTGGTTGGTTCATTACAATATTCTGCATTGTTTGCTTTCAGGTAGCCGCCCTTGGACATGATGACGTTTCAAACAGTCGATAAAAAGGTGCGGACGTCTCAGGAATTAGACTTCCGTTTAATTACAACCTCTTAATATAACCGAAATTAGCATAGCCCGGCCAACACCCCGTTGACTCCGTCTCTGTCCCGATATTCTCTCTCGCTTAAAGTTACTTTACGCTTCGAAAACTTGAAAGAACTTCTGTACCTAGCCTCGTCCAAGGCGTCTTTACATCACAGTGTCTTGTTGTCTGAGCCAAGCCTGGGATCGAAGTCTCGCCGTCAACAACACAGAGAAGATAGACTTCGTGAGTTCCCCACGAAACGTATAATTTGTGTTCCAACGCCTCTTCATTGCTTTGCAATCAGCATAGCTTGAGACAATAGCCGACATTTCGTGAAGCCACCATTGGTTTCCCCGTGAAATGACGTCTGACAAACGACTGCAGAAATTTCATACTGATGACGTGTCACTACCCAGATCTGGGTTGTGCTTTCGATTGGTCCTGCCGCGTGGGAATTTGCATCAACCAATCAGAAGCACTACTCAGATCTGCGTAGTAACGCGTCATCAGTATGGAAGTTCTGCGCCCCTGTCCCAGACGTCATTTCACGGAGATACCAGCGGTGGCATCGCGAAATGTGGGCGGTTTTCTCTGGCTACGCTAGCGAAAATAGATGACCTCTACAAACAGGCTTCACCAAAAAAGGCACAAAATTGTCTTGAAATTGTTTTCCTGTGGTTGCAAGTCACAGGTTTACTTTTGTTATCTACAGTTGTACAGTAACAGTGAACTCAAAAATGGCGATAGTATGATGTTATCGATTTGTGAAGTCCAGGCCTCCAACAAAGACCCAGCTGTCACTGCGGCGGAGACTGGTAACCAACGTTCTTTTGGTAACGACAACACGCCTGAAAAGTTAGAGCAAAGATTGGAAATTATTTTAAAACTCTGATAAAACAGATACGCTTTTTATCTTGTTTATCTTTTTCAATAATGAAAGAGAGGCTGAATGCAGGAACGCGCATCAAATTGTCGACTTTTCATGTGGCACAAGTTCACTGAACTGTCGCCTACGCGAAGCAGTGGTTTTTTAATATTTTGGCAAGCATAGATGATAATTAAACTTTTTTTCGGATTGAGTGCGGTATAGCTACTCCTATTGAACTCATTGTAGTATCAGATTTTTTCCAATTTTTTAGGCTGAAGTAAAGGACTAATACCTTTACGCAAGAATATTATTTTTCGGTAAAAGTCTGTTTGTTTGTTTTCGGTATAAGTCCTTTTTTGAAATCACCTAACCTCCCCTCAATAATCAAAAAGGGTGCCTCAAGGAAGGAGGAAGGGAAACGTGATCCTTCCGCGATTTTGTCTTTTTGCTGCACAGACGAGGGCCTGCATTTTTCGATTGGGCTTTGCCACAGGTAGCCCAATTAATAACGTATGCAATGGGAGGAGAGGGGAGCTAACTCATAGTTACTCAAAATACCTGTATAATGTAACATCAACAAAAATAGCAGTTGTGATAAGATTCCAGCTAACGTTCCTTCAACAGTCTTGACACTTCCTAAGGTAAAAATTATGTTCTTCAGTACCTAAGCGATAGTAAAATGATTATGGAGCAGATTTTGTACACAGATACTTGAGATGAATAATTAGAAAAACAAGGCTACCCAGCACGGATCGGAGATCTGAGTCCCAAGACAAAACAAACAATCAGAAGAATAGTTGTGAATTATCCTGCTCAAAACACGCATTCCCCGTGGAGAGTACGAGACAGCGGGAGAAGATGACTGTGACCAGTGAAATAAAAGACACTAAATATACCGCTTGAGGATGCGGCCATTTTGAGGCGGTTTAGATTGAGTCGAGGTCATGGCGTGCCCTTGGGGACGTTATCACTTTTTTTAGCTATTATGAGGTTCATAGTCACTTAATATGTTAGAAATCCGTACCCAACAGAGTACCATTAGTCAACTTAGGCAAAAGGACGACAGAAGAGAGAAGACGGCAAACCTTGTATGACAAGCTTGACAATAATCATGTATGGTAAACACAGTAATGTTAAGTAAAGATCACGACAAAACTTGTAAGTAATAGCCTTGTCACGTTTGTCATACACTAACGTTTTGCTGTTCTCTTCTCCGCCGTTCTGTTGCGTAAGCTCACCACTTATGCCATTCGACGCGACGCCGACCCAGTCCCTTCAAGCCCAACCTCAACAAGGGTGAAAATTCCTCTTCACACAGCGCATGCAACAATGACTATTTTAAGTACAGAGCATGAAATCAAAAAAGCTTTACCTGGCCAGCGAAAGCGCCCGAGAGATTTTCCAACAATTGACGCCATTGTGTCACCGATTCCCAAGGCCAGTATCCCAGAATACAATGCAAGTTTACAACCTGCGAGGAAAAAGAAGGAGTTCCCTGTCAGTCGCTGTAAATTAGCAGATAAATTATAGCTTGCGTAGAAGGCGGTTTTGTCGGCGCGTTGTTTTTGTATTATCATACTTAGAAACGAAGATGGCAACCCCTCCCCTCCCCCCCCAAAAAAAAAAACCTTCAGCATTTTAACAAAACCTTGACTGCAAGCCGTCCCTCTTTTGCTCGTACATCCGTGGAATGAAGCAAGCGAAGCAATGTGCCGCGAGCTGCGTGGGCGCAAGTACACGCCAGTCCATGTCTTATGGGATTAACAATTCGTACAAGACAAAATCAAATTGTTAAAAAGGGCAAACCGAGGCTTTTAAAATCCCGTCAAGTTTGGTATTTATTGGGCCCATATTGAAGGAGATACGGCATTCAAAATCTTCAAAATTTACTAAGAAATAGTATTGAAGACGTCCGGCAATCCATACATTTCTCAGTAGATTAGGGACCTGATTGACACCACGATTTTGTAATGCTCCTTATGCTTTTCTGACTTTGCACGTCTTGTGTCGATAATCTCATTATACACTGACTCCTAACCAGCCTCCCTCGGCTCGGTATAAGCTCTTCTGGCAGGCAACAAAAGGGAAAAAAAGACTCTTAAGTTTCTTAATCAAAATGGTATATCTACGCATAGATAGTCGAGTATTTCGCTGAATTAGCGGTCACCCATATAATATACTCACCAGTGTAATCAGGTTTACTATAATCCACAGGGTATAACCACAAGGGTACAGCTAAACCCAGCAACAAATACACGTGGGTTAAAATCAAGGGACCGGCGTCCTTTTCATCTAAAAACACCTCCAAAGCAGAGTGAATTGATGAGCCAAAAGGGCCTATTCTGTATAATCTGATGTACTGCGAGATGAAGAAAACACGGAAAACAACGTTTTAGTAAACTCAATAGCGACAAAGCCCGGGACAGGTGTAATCAGCAGCAAGCGTGGAAGTAGGATGAAGTTACTCCGGCCTTTGTGCTGGAAACAATCTCTATCTCCAAATCATCTCAACCGCGGGAAAATTGGCTGTCAGCGCTGGTTACTGGGTAACCAGTCTGCTAAACATCACATTTTGTCGTTTACCAAGGGACATTT